CTGACATAAGAACGATATGTGACCATAATTGACAAAAGGGCCCTTATGGCGGATTTTAAAAATGATTGTTATAATGGAAAATATCAACCTATGAGTGCTTTGTTAGACAATCATTGTTTCTAAAAGTTTCATGGTAACTTTTTGCATCCTGTGGAGTAATTTTATGATAAATGGGGCTCAGGAAGTTGGATTTCTTAGGCTAGAAAGACAAATTTCACTACCCGCCATAAGGTACCTTTTGTCAATTATGGTCACATATTACTCTCTGGGTACCTTTAATTAGAAAAAAGAATTTTTAATGAATCATTAAAAAAGAGAATGATATTTCTCTAAAGTGTATTTGGATTGAATGGAGTCACATAAGCTTGTTATAACTTTATATTCACTAATTTTATTGTAAAATCAATACTCCTTACCATATTTGTCAAGGTCTGGAAGGTTAATCTCGTCACAGAAGAGAACCAGCCACTTTCCGAGTTGAGAAGGAGCCATCACAACTCTATTGGGAGTCCTCTTGTACTCACAGTAATGATCAAACCTCTTTAATAATAGCTCAGGGATAGTGGCTGATGAGACATTAAGACCAACAACCTGGAGAAAAATAGAAAGGGGAAAGAGAGTCAAACAGAAAAAACAAAAAAGATAACAAAGACATTTTCACATAGAAATATACAAGCATAAAATCTCATTCATACAATATAGTACATGCACTGTAATTCATAAATACATGTACATGAGTACATGTTCGTGTATTAAAATAGAAAGCAAGGTATTAAATAGAAATGCTGATTTATTAAAATACCTGTTAGACCACAGTACCCATTCTCCTTGAATGTTAACTTCAAAATCAATGATGGGGGCAGTGCCAGGTGGTAGTGGTATGGTGGTTGTCCCTCGTATAAAGTCGCCCATTTTCTCATGATAGACCATCTTCCTGTCTCCAGAGAAGCACCAGATCAAACAGAATTTGAGGTAGCGTGGAACGTAGGCCTCAATCTGATCTGAGAGCATGGGTAAGTCTGGGTGAGACTGGCTGTAGGAGACTATGTTTCTGATCATCTGGTGGAGCATTGAGAAGAGAGAGTTTAGTGCTCTGAGGATAGTGAAGTCCATTATGTGGTCTAGAGTTGTGGCGTGTTTGAGGCAGCGAGGAACGATACCGTCTGAAGCAAAATGAGGACTCAATAGATCAGCACAATCTCTCTGGACCTGGAAATGTATATGGGTAAAGGAATAAAATTTAGTGGGCAAGCAGTTAAAAAAAGTAGATGAATCATTAAAGTAGAAGATGGTGATTATTGCATACAAAATACATGTAAAAGTGTAATCAATGCTCACAAAATTGAATTAAAAATTGAATTATATGAATTATTAATTATATAATTGAATTATACATGTACATGTACATGTAGTTGCTCACCTGCATA